CAATGATCTGTCCATGGAGATGCATAGCAACGAGGGGAAGAGTGTGTCTATGTACCCTCGTAGACCGTAAGCGCAAGCGTTTGACAACGCATTTGATGTAGTCGAACTTCTTCGCGCTTCAACCGATTAAGTACCGAACGCATGGCACCTCCGCGTTCTGCATACGTTCAGCTCGGTGACGTCCCTTACCTTCTTGATCCAGCAATACGTCAAGGTAGTAGATGAGTTCCCTCAGCACAACGCCGTGGTGATGGTGATGGTTAAGTGATCTCTGCAGGGCTTCGCCTAAGCACTACGAAAATATGACCGAGGGTGTAAACGGTGGAGGGGGCGCCGCACACAGCTAAGCAATTGTCTGGGGTGTGCTAGGCGGCCCTCCTCATATATATAGGTGGGAGGGAGAGGAGAGAGGCCAAGGGGCACCCCAAGTAGGTCCGAATCCTACTTGGGCTCCTGCCCTTGGCAGCTCCCCCTTGCCATTTTTGTCGGAGGGGGAAGGAAAGAGGGGTGGGGGGAGAGGGAAGGAAGTGGGAATCCTAATCCACACTTACCTTTCCCTTTCCCCCCTTTCCTTCTCCTCCTTAGGCTGGCCCATATGGGGGCATACCAGCCCCTTGTGGTGGGTGTGTTTCCCCTCTTGGCCCACAAAGCCCATATCTTTTGCCTGGGGTGTCCGGAACCCCTTCCGGTGACCCGATAAGTACCCGGTACCCCCCAAAACACTTCCGGTGTCCGAATACCATTGTCCTATATATCAATCTTTACCTATCAACCATGTCAAGACTCCTCATCATGTCCGTGATCTCATCCGGGACTCCTAACAACATTCGGTCACCAAATCACATAACTCATATAATACTATATCGTCATCGAATGTTAAGTGTGCGGACCTTACGGGTTCGAGAACTATGTAGACATGACCGAGACACCTCTCCGGTCAATAACCAATAACGGAACCTGAATGCCCATATTGGCTCCTACATATTCTACGAAGATCTTTATTGGTCGAACCGTTATGACAACATAGGTAATTCCCTTTGTCCATCGGTATGTTACTTGCCCGAGATTCGATCGTCGGTATTTTCATACCTAGTTCAATCTCGTTACTTGCAAGTCTATTTACTCGTTCCGTAATACATCACCTTGTGACTAACTCCTTACTCGTTTGCTTGCAAGCTTATGATGTGTATTACCGAGAGGGCCCAGAGATACCTCTCCGATACTCAGAGTGACAAATCCTAATCTCGATCTATGCCAACTCAACAAACAGCTTCGGAGATACCTGTAGAGCATCTTTATAATCACCCAGTTACGTTGTGACGTTTGATAGCACACAAGGCATTCCTCCGGTATCCAGAAGTTGCATAATCTCATAGTCGAAGGAATATTTATTTGACATGAAGAAAGCAATAGCAATAAAACTGAACGATCCTTATGCTAAGCTAACAGATGGGTCTTGCCCATCACATCATTCTCCTAATGATGTGATCCAGTTATCAAATGATAACTCATGTCCATGGTTAGGAAAACTTAACCATCTTTGATCAACGAGCTAGTCTAGTAGAGGCTCACTAGGGACACGATGTTTGTTTATGTATTCACACATGTATTAAGATTTCCGATCAATACAATTCTAGCATGAATAATAAACCTTTATCATGAATAAGGAAATATAAACTAACAACTTTATTATTGCTTCTAGGGCATATTTCCTTCATAAATTGCAGCAAAATATATTTGGTTTTTATAATATAATTAAAGTAGACCCAAAGGCCATAGTTTTCACTAGAGGCTTCTCTCTCGAACACATAACATAGGTGGGTGAAAAATTACTATTGGGCAATTGATAGAAAAATGCATTTTATGATGTATTCACGTCAATGATCATGTGTATAGGGATCACGTCCGAGACAAGTAGACCGACTCCTACTTGCATCTACTACTATTACTCCACCAATCGACCGCTATCCAGCATGCATCTATAGTATTACGTTCATGAAAAATAGAGTAACACCTTAAGCAAGATGACATGATATAGACAAAGTAAACCCAATCAATATGAATAAATCCTGTCGTTTTACCCTTAATGACAAAAATACAAATATGTGTCTTGTCCCCTTCTGTCACTGGGATATAGAGCACCTCTAGATTGGACCCATTATAAAGCACCTCTCCCGCTGAAGATAAATCAATCTAGTTGGCCAAACCAAACAGATAATTGCAGAGAAATACAAAGCTATAAAAATCATGCATAATAAAGTTCAGAAAAGACTCATTTACTTTTAGTGAATAATCTGATCATAAACCCACAATTCATCGGATCCCAACAAACACACCGCAAAAGAAGATTACATATGATAAAACTCCAAGAAGATCAAGGAGAACATTGTATCGAAGATCAACGAGAGAGAAGAAGCCATCTAGCTACTAGATATGGACTCGTATGTCTACGGTAAACTACTCACGCAACATCGGAAGGCAGCAAGGATGATGTGGAAGCCCTCCGTGATCAATTCCCCCTCCGGCAGATTATCGAAAAAGGCCTCCAGATGGGATCACGAAAGAACGGAAGCTTGCGGCAGCGGAAAAAGTGTTCTAGGTGGCTCTATGGGGGTTTCCCAGTATTTGAGAATTTATAGAAGTGGAATTAGGTCAGATGGAGCCACGTGGGGCCCACAAGGTAATAGGGCGCGCCTTGCCATCTGCTTGTTTGTCCTCTGGCCTCCTCCTGGAGCTTGTAGGGTCTCTTATGTCCAGAAAAAAATTGTCAAAAAGTTTCGTAGCGTTTGGACTCCGTTTGGTACCGATTTTCTGAAAAGGAAAAGACAAACAGAAATCAGCAACTAACACTAGGCACTGGGTTAATAGGTTAGTTCACAAAAATGTTATAAAATAACATATAAGGCATCCAAGATTGATAATATAATTATATGAAACAATCAATAACTATAGATACATTGGAGACGTATCAGCCGCCACGTCGCCGCCCGATTCGAGCTTCTCCCGCCACTGGCAATCCGCGGCACGATTCGAGTTCCCGCTGCTGCATTTGAAACTCGACACTCGGGCACCACCCTGCTCTTCGTCGCTCGGCTGCCGCCATGCCGTCGACGAAAATCTCGAAGAGCAAGACCGGCTTCTTCGGGGTGCGGCAAAAGCCGTCCTAGAACTTCGACGTGGAATTCCAGTGCGGTGGCTATTGCTACTGGATCGGTGCGTTCGAGTCTGCCGATGTGGCCGTGCGTGTGTACGACATCGCGGCAAACTTGCTATGTTTTAAATATGTTTGAAATGATGTAGTGGTTGAACTAGTTTTACATCTTCAAATGCATTAGTTTTACATCACCAAATATACATTATTTTTTAAAGTTGAGAGACTTTTTTGAAGATGTAAATTATACAACACCTACTTTTACATCTCTAAATATACATCTTTTATTGGAGATGCTCTTACATCATTCTATTGGACCGAGGTCCGTGTTCAAGTTTCAACTTCGAAGCCTATTTTCTGTAACCAGTACAGACACAAACAGGTCATCATGTTTTCATGCTCTGTCTACATGACCTTATGCAGGCTTCTGTTAGTGAGAAAGGTTAGTTGTGATTGTGCGACCTTTTTGCTCAAAACCATCCCATATTCCCATGTGTAAAGCAAGCAACGAAACATGCCATGTGCAGCGTGAAACTATAACCCTCATTAAGAACTCGTCCGTTTGTCAATGGCATATTTGCGCACCATCTAGCTTCAGTGCATGTAAACAGCGCTTCAATTAGCCACACAAGACCGAGATGTTCAGAGTTCTGTTCAGACTATCGCATACAGTACGTAGCAGCTTGTCAGCAGTGGAGATTCATACTGCAGATGAACTAAATCCTGTCGCGAAAACAATTTTTAGCAAACCAGAGAGGAAAACACTCTAGATAGTACTAGTATACAATGCGTTGCTGTTTTGTGTTTATCTGACATCGAGCGGTTGTTTCCATTGGTGCAGTCTCCTTGGTCCCTGTGGGGCGAAAGAAAAAGTGTTTCCTTGGTCCATGCACGACACTGCACACAGCTTAGTTTAGGCGCTGCAGATGATAACCTACCAACAAGCTCGCACAAATCACCAACAGCCAAAGAGAAAGCCTGGAAAATATGGCCATGGAACAGGTGCAAATTATTGCAGAAACCCTACCACATGACTAGCTACGTTACACAATGGTTGGTGTTCAAACGAGAGACATGCGTCGCTTCAGGGGCACATGCTGATTCTGATTGCAGATAGACTGTTCGATGCTTCCCTTTTCAAAAAGGAGTCGTCTACTCCACTGGCCACCACTGCATTTCATATCCTCAAGAACCGGCTTAACCTAATGGATTCTTGCGCACGATCGGGACGCGCCAACAGCAAGGAAGCTGCTCGATTGAGACCCTTGTGTCTTAATGAATGGCTCCGGCCGGTGATCACATAGGGCAGGGTACGTAGTCTAGGTTTGTGTGTTCCTCAAGCATGCTTGTTCAATCCCCCTATGAGAATTAGATATTCTTTGGTAACTTCAGTTCAAGCACACCCGTAAGCAAGAAAAATGGCCGGTGTGCATCGTAATGATGCAGAGGCCAGGGATGATCCCCTTTTGTAAAAAAAAAGTAGAGAGCAAACGATATATCTTCTGCTTATGTCTGCCTTCTGTTCATTTCATTCTTCAGAGACAGTTCAAGAGGTGTCATGTAATCACCTAAACCTCTTGAAACAAAAAAAAAGGAAAAGAAAAGAAAAGAAAAGAAAAGAAAGTATGCATATATCACAGTTTGTTGAAGAGAAAAGAAAAGGTAAGTACGATGTACAAGCCCGGGAGGATACTTGCCGATCCGTCCCCTATAACGAAAACCAAAAAAGTTCTTATGTTTGCAGCTAGTAGGAGCATCAACACCTTACTGGTGCGACCCTTGCATGTACAGTATAGGCAGCAGCTTGTTCGGCTCTTGGATCCGACGATCTCTTCTACAACTCTCCCATCTACCTCCTCTTATTCCCCGGAGTTTGTTGCGAGGAAGACGGGGCCGGCGGCGGCGGCGTGTCGACGCCCCACACCATGATCTCCAGGCAATCTGGAGGAATGCCCTTCACCTTGCTATAATCCTCCGACACCACTTGCTGCACAAACCTCATCGAGTCCTGCGAAACAATGATGTACAAGAAAACATGTTAGCTCTGGCAAAAGCGAAAAAATCATCATAGGTCGTCATGGCATCATCGCATTACAGAGATGGAAACATGCTGTAACGGCCTCTCATGATTGATCGCAGCAACTAGTGCTTTAGTGGTTAGATTCATGACAGGTGAAGCAGTCAGCTGCACACCTAAAAGAAGCCCTGGTTTTCTGAAGAACGGCATTAGCTATTAGCCAGGGGTGCTACGGCCGTACTGCTGGTGCTGTGGCCAACCACCAACACCGGGCGTGTCTTGCCTTGCACCAAATCCTACTCATCCCCACGCCCGGGGCCCCTCCCCACCAAATCATACCACTCGCACCGCACCGGATTAAATTAAAGATAAGCCCCCAGCGATTTGGCATTTGCATTGCCATTTCCAGATCCTCTCGGATTCGACCCGTTTTGTCGATTGCCGCAGCTTCGGTGTACCGACCGACGCCCGCGCCATTTTTTGTTTTTGCAAATTTCCCTGATGAAACGAAGGAGGGCCTCCACCGCATGTTTATGCGAAATTGAAGGACGCGTGACAAGTTGAATTTGGCCGGAAAAGTTGGGACAGATGGGCCACGAGGCCTTCTCATCTCATCGTCCCTCCCCTTCCAACCCCACCTGTACCACATGCACGAACAGAGCTGGCTAGCTAGCACTAGCAGACAGGGCAAGACGCCGCTTTCATGGCGGAAAATTGCCTCCGCCGATCTAAACCCGCAGCCGCGGCGACATCGCTGTGCCGCGCGAAAGTCAACATGAATGCTTGCTGTTAGTTCCGGGGAATGCATGCATGCATGCATGGCGACGCCGATCGAGCCGGCCGGCCGGCCGAGGAACGAGGAAGCAAGCAGTGTGCTACTGCTACTGCGATGTGTGCTGTACTGTACTGCGCAATGAAGGGTTGATGGTGGACTGACCTGGGACTTGTCGGGCTCGGAGGTCGGGTAGCGGCCCCAGCGCTCGGGGTCCCAGAGCACGGAGCTGTTGAAGGCGAAGCCGTGGACGTCAATCTCAGGCGAGGTCGCCGCCGTGCCGCCGCCCGTGCCGGCGGTGCCGTTGCTCATCAGGTCCCTGGAGAACCAGCCGAGGACCTTGGAGGAGCTGCACGCAGGGCCCTGGATGACCACCTTCCGCTCGTTCCGCGACATCCTCGCCACCGGCCACGCACCGAATGTACTGCAAAAGATTTCGCGTAAAAGCAACAGATTCTCGCGTTAGAGGCTTGGATTAGATGCTACTACAATATTTAGATGGTGGAAACGGCGCGCGTGCATGTGCCGAAAAGCTTGAAAAGATGCTGGTCAGTAGGGCGTCCATGTCATGCTGCCGCGACGGCGAATTAGTGGCTTGCTAAATATGGTGCTTGTACTGGTGATTAAGCATGTCTTATCGCGCAGATCGAAATGGCTGGCATGCAGTTTCTGAAGCATTAGTTCATAGAAACACTTTTTTCTTCTGCCTAACTATGCTAGACGTCAATTTCTGACAGCAGTTTGGAGTATGCTGAAATGCAGATTGGACATACTATATAAGTACCAGCCTATATATACTCGGAGAACTGCACAAACAAATTGAGTAGTACTGCCGTGTTACAGACACTAATGCCACTAATGCAGGAGATTGCTAACCAATCTAACACGACGGGAACGATGCTGCAGATACTACGAATATTGCCAAAATAGGAGTAAACCGAGTAACCGACGGGCGAGACTGCACAGGGTCAAGAATCAGAAGCAAGAAGACAATAGTAGAATTGATCTGACGAAGATCGCTCTTCCTTTCCTTTTCGGCGAACTGAACAAAACCAGTCAGCTGCTGGCTACGCGACGCTCAGCAGCCTGGAAATAACAGCGAGAAACCCGTGCCGTGTACGTACGTACAGGCCCGGATCCCGAATAGAACATGCAAGGCGTCTGCCGTGATTGCAAGTACTCCCAGTTTGACAGTTAGCAGCCGTGCAACGTCCGGCAGGAGCTCATGTTTCCCTGTCAGGCCCGCGGGGAGGAAGGACACCGCTCACCCGTACCGTTAGTTGAGGGGTGCCAATCATTCTACCGACACATTTGGGCGTCTCCTACGCAACAACGCCCCTTCCTTTCTCATGCCTGCCATTGGCACCCAAGGACGGAACAAGACCGTTACGTCGCCGTCGTAGTAAAATAACACAAAGCAATGGACTGCTCCAGCCTGACTGACTGGAGATCCATCCCAAGTGGTAGTATGGTACAGCGCAGGCCTGGCAGGGGAAAAGAATGGGGGCAGAGAGATAAAAAACGACCCTTTAATGGGGAGGGTGAGTGGCCTCCTCCTCCTCACATCACATGGCCCGGATGATAATTGGATCGTCGCCGGCGATTAAACTAGCCCTGGGCCGGAGGTCGTCCAGGCGGTGCGTGAGCTGTAGCGCTCGGGGCAACCTGACAAAGTTGCTTGCAACTAGCCCCTCGAGCGTGAGCGCTTTGGTCGCTAGCTGCGTACTTCGCCGCGTGACCGTCCGCGCGACCGCGCGCTTTGCTCGCAGCAACACAAGGCAAAAGCTTTTCTTGTTTTCCTCGAGTGAAAGATCTTTTTTCACTTTGCTGCTAGGCTAGGAGGATGCGGGGGAGGGGGAATGCAAGGGCTGAGGAACGGACTGGACGGTACCTGATCTGCCGGAGCTGGTCGAAAAAGCGCAGCTCGTAGACGTCGCCGAGGCCGGCGAAGTGGACGATGGCGGCGAGGCGGTGCCGCTCGATGTGCTCCAGCGCGGTGTTGCGCTGGTGGTGGCGCTCCTTGCCCGCGGCGACCTCGGCGGCCGTGAAGTTCTCCTTGTAGGTCAGGTGGCGGTACAGGATCCCCGTGTCGCGCAGCAGCTTCGCCGTCGCCGGCACGTCGGGGGCGGCCTCCACCACCACCCACAGCAGCGGCGGCGGCACGAGCCGCAGGGTGTGCGCCATCCTGGTCAGCATCGCCGCCCGCTCGCCGGCCGCCGTAGGCGTCGACTCGGTCGTCGTCACGACCACCAGGAGAGGCCGCGGGACGCCCCCGATTCTCGCGGCCGCGTCCCGCGCCAGCAGGCTCCGGTCCATGGCCGCGCCCGACGCGATCACTTGCGGCGTCTTCACCACGTGGCTGCTCCCCACCCCGGCGGGCGCGACGGACCGCCAGTCGGAGACGGAGGAGGGGGCGAAGCCCGTGAAGAAGCCCATGACGAAGCAGAGGCTGGAATGCAGCAGCGCCTTCTTCCACAGCTGCGAGCCGCCGGACGCCTTCTTGGCCCTCCCGCCCGCCGCGCCGACGTGGTCCATGGCGGAGCCCATGAGGCAGACCACCACCGACGACACCTCCCTAGCCGCAGCAGACGACGATCTCGCTCGCGCTCTCGAGAGCCTCGCGTCGCGTCGTGCCGTGTCGTAGCCAGAAACTGTCTGATTGTAGCCTGGTTAGGCAGCGGCGACAGTGGCGGACGCGAATTTGGCAGTGGAGGTGGGTTTAAAAAGGGCGGGAGGTGGCGGGCAGCGGAGCCTGAGGGAGGAAGCGGCACGAGGGGGGAGCGCCACCAACGCCCTCTCCCTTCTCCGGGACGCCGCTATCATGATTAGGTGGCGTGCCGGCAAGTGACGCACTAATGCGCACACTGCCCCAACCACATCGACTCTATATGCACGGCTGCACCGAGCTATTTTCGGCCGTTGGATGGATATCGGACGAGTGCAGTCTAGCTGATGAATGGATTGTTGGCACATTAGCAACAATGCTCTCACGCAGTATCAAAATCAAGCCGCACTACACCATCTCCCTCTCTCAACATTAAATGTAGATTTGTAATTTCTATCTTCAAGCATAGGAATGGCCGGACCATATATCCAAATGTAGATATGGTTTGACCACCATCATTATTTTGATGAGATGTTCGAAACAATACTACTAATGCTGGATATATTTTTCTATTTCTCTGTTTCGAAGCTTGGCCGCAACATCTATAAGCTCCAAGTCATTAAAAAACATAGTCAATATTGTTCTTCTTCCAAAGATCTCATAGAAACAAAGATTATAGCCAAAACAGATCTGAATTTAGACATTCCCCTAAAGATATAACCTTTTTTTTATGTAGATACGAAGAGTAAACATACATATTTATTGATGGCGAGAGTAAGATGTGGAGTGCAGGTTCATTCGAAAAAGTAGAAGGACAATTTTGCAAATGTGCCAACAATTCACTTTCTAGTGAAACCACATCCCTCAGATTTTCATCCAATGGCCCAAAATCACATGGTGCACTGGGTGCACAGATTAGCCCGTTTCAGACGATACGTTCTCCGAATGCCTTCGATGGGGGTGACGTCGTTTGCTCTAGCTACAAGCAAAATCTTTTGGATTCATTTTGGCTACACACGAGATAGTTGACGCTGCCGTTCGTTAAGGCCTAAAGTATCAAACAGATCATAATCAACCAAAATTAATGTATCCGAGGGTCATATCTTGGCCTTCAATTGAGCAAAAGAGGCCTAGTATCAGAGTGTTGCGTTGAAGCTATCATGTGTTGTTGTCATCCATTTTGTCTACGTTTGCTTTACGTGTTTGGTGATAGTGTCATTTTGTGGCGATGACAAACAGATGATGCTATGGATGCTCGGGTCGAGAAGCACAAACAAGCAATCACACTCCCTCGAGTGGTTGTTGATGTTGTGGCGTTGTTTGTTCGGTGATGGGTTCCAGTTGGTGCATGTCCAATGCGTGTCATCACTTGACTGACTCCATGCGTGCATGGATAAAGAACAGGCCGTATTAGGATAATGCATGTCAAGGACTTTAATTTGGTAGTGGTGGTGGGTTTTAAATGGGCGAGAGGTGGCGGGCAACGAAGCTAGAGGGAGGAAGCAGCATGAGGGGAGCGCCACCAACGCTTTCTCCCTTCGCCGGTACGCCGCAACCATGATTAGGTGGCGTGCGGGCAAGTGACGCACTAACGGGCACACTTCCCCAACCACACCAAAGTGTAAGAAGTTTCGTCTTGGTCATAAGGTATGCTTTTCCCAGCGTGGTCTGCCACGTATGTGGGGTGTCTGAATGCCTCTAACACGGTGGTGACTACATAACTACAAGTAAAATCTATTTGATTCATTTTGGATAGTTCAAACTGTCGTATGCAAGGTCTAGAAGATCAAACTACTAGAGATCATAATGTACGAAAATCATTGTTGTTTCAAGGATCATATCTTGGCCTTCAATCCATCAAAGAAAAAAAATGCCTGGTATCAAAGTGATGCGTCGAAGCAATGCGGGGGAGTGGAGAGAAGACAAGTGTCCCTCCCTCCTATTGTCGCCTTGAAAGCTTTTTTTCATTCTCCCGGACGTCGCTATCATGATTAGGTGGCGTGCAGGAAAGTGATGCACTAATGCGCACACTGCACCAACCACACCAAAGTGTAAGCAGTTTCGTCCGGGGCGTAAGGTATGCATTTCCGTGCGTGGCCCACCGCGTACGTGGGTGTCTGAATGCCTCCTATGCGGTGATGCTTGCGCCCTAGCTACAAGAAAAATCTTTTGGATTCATTTTGGGTGGACACGAGATAGTTCAGGGCACCGTTTGTAAGGTCTAGAAGATCAAATTACTACAGATTGTAATCTACCAAAATCAGTGATGTTTCAAGGAGAATATCTTGCCCTTCAATTCAGCAAAAAGGTGTATTATCAGAGTGATGCGTTGAAGCTATCATGTGTTACTTTCATCCTCTTTGTCTACGTATGATTTATGTGTTTGGTGATAGTGTCATTGTGTGGTGGTGACAGACGGATAATGCAAGTGGTGCAAGGATCGAGAAGCACTAGCAACCTCACTCCCTTGAGTGGTTGTCAACATTGTGGCATCGTTTCCTCTTTTATTCGGTGATTGGTTCCAGTTGGTGCATGTCCCATACGTGCCATGATTTAATCGACTCTATCTACCTCCAGCGTGGATAAATGACACACCATATTAGGATCATGCATGTGAAGGACTTTAATTCCATATATTGATTGATTCTTTTGTGTTGCAAACATATGGCTCATTAGATCAACCACCTACAAAGTCTAACTAGATGTGGTAACACTATTTACGAGTTGTGATCGTTTTGACTAGATAGACAAGTTCAGTTATCAATGTTTTGGCTACCCGAAATGTAATTTCTGTTTTACTAAAAACACATGTGTAAATGTGAAAGCATGATGTAGTGATAAATTGGTATTATCAATTTTGTTCATTGATGTTGTGGTTCTGGTCAGTTTGTTCAGATGTTGTGCTTCATTGTGTTGCCCAGGTCAATTTGTTGTACTCGCTGTAAGTTATCGAGATTTGTGGAGTCGATCTCAAGCCTTCTGAAAGCACAAGTGCTCCCTGGGTGATTTTGGTAATTAATGTCAACATGTCTCTTGTGGACTAATATTTTCATCTAGTATATTTCAGATGTGTTCAACAAAGGAGTGGCTTGGACAAAAGGATGTGGAACCCCTTCAAGATGCTAAGGACAAATATTGGCAAAAACTCAAGACTCTTCATTTTCATTATAGTGATCCAAGATCACATTGAGTCCATAGGAAAGCCAATACTATTAAAAGGGGATGAGGTGTTGCTCAATGGCTTGCTTGCTCAAAATTCTTAGTGATATGCTCCAAAAGCCCTCAACCACTTTCTCATTTCCACTTATGTCCCAAACCTAAAGTCAAACTCAGCCCCACCGATTTGATTTATCCGGCGCCGCCGAGTTCACTTGACATAGCCACTGCCAGAAACCCTAATCAATTCAATCTCACCGATGGGATCTCGGTCTCACCGAGATGGGCTTGCAAACTCTCTATTACCTGTTGCAATAATTTTGGTCTCACCGAGATATGCTAATGGTCCCACCGAGTTTGCTTGACCAACTCTCTGTTTTGCTTATTACCAAAATCGGTCCCACCGAGTTTGTGTAATCGGTCAAACCAAGCTGAGGTTTTACCCTAACCCTAGCACATTGGTCCCACCGAGTTGATCATCTCAGTCCCACCGAAAATCTTAACGTTCACATTTTGAACTAAATTGGGCTGACCGGGTTTCATGATTTGTTCCCACCGAGTTTGGTAAACTGTGTGTAACGGTTAGATTTTGTGTGGAGGCTATATATACCCCTCCACCCAACCTCCATTCTTGGAGAGAGCCATCAGAACGTGCCTACACTTCCAGCATACATTTCTGAGAAAGAACCACCTACTCATGTGTTGAGACCAATATATTCCATTCCAACCACAAGAATCTTGATCTCTAGCCTTCCCCAAGTTGCTTTCCACTCAAATCATCTTTCCACCATAGCCAAATCTGTGTGAGAGAGTTGAGTGTTGGGTAGGCTATCATTTGAAGCACAAGAGCAAGGAGTTCATCATCAACACACCATCTATTACCTTTTGGAGAGTGGTGTCTCCTAGATTGGTTAGGTGTCACTTGGGAGCCTCCATCAAGATTGTGGAGTTCAACCAAGGAGTTTGTAAGGGAAAGGAGATCGCCTACTTCATGAAGATCTACCCAAGTGAGGCAAGTCCTTCATGGGCGATGGCCATGATGGGATATACAAGGTTGCTTCTTCATGGACCCTTCGTGGGTGGAGCACCCTCTATGGACTCGCGCAACCGTTACCCTTCGTGGGTTGAAGCCTTCATCAACGTGGATGTACGATAGCACAACCTATCGGAACCACGCCAAAAATCTCCGTGTCTCCAATTGCGTTTGCACACTCCAATCCCATCCCTTTACTTTCTTGCAAGTTGCATGCTTTACTTTCCGCTGCTCATATACTCTTGCCATGTTTGCTTGAAATGTATTGTGAATGTTTAAATTTGTGCTAAAACTCCACCTTAACTTAAAGAAATTAAAAACTGCTATTTTTCTTTGTTGAGGGTCTAATCACCCTCCTAGACACCTCTTCTCGATCCTACAATTGGTATCAGAGCGTTGGTCTCCATTGCTTTGGTTTAATTACCATTGGAGGAAGATGGATGAGTCTACGTTGGGGAGTCTTAGACGTAGAGTACCTATACTTGATGGAGACTTCTTTCATGTGTGGAAAATTGAGATGCTTGAGATTTTCAATGAATATCACTTAAACAAGTACATTGCTAGCCCTTGTGCACCCCTTTTTGACCCCTTGCATCATACCCTTGATGAATCTATTGACATGCTCCATAATCTTTGAACTGTTAATTTAATCACTAGAGGATTACCTAGAAACTTAATTGGTAGCTTGCCTGCTCTTGATTGTGCCTACACCATATGGAGATTTCTTGAGGAACGATTTCCACACTATTCCTT